CTTGTATCCAAAATCATCAAGAAATTAAAAAAAAATATAAATATAATAATAATCTCCGTGTGTCACGGAGACATGGTGTCTCCGCACGTCTCCGTGTGTCATGGAGACATGACACCATGTCTCCGTGCGCAACGGAGACACGGGCGCACGGAGACATGGGTCGTGTCTTCGTGTTTTTTTTTTTAATTACACCAACTCTAATCCTGAACTAATTAAATATGAAGTTTTCTGATTTTTACATAACTAAAAGCAAAAAAATTAAACCCCTAAGAATATATAGCTATTAAAAAAAAACATTTTCTAACTCAAACTAACAAAGATAGAGGCATCAATTCCACCGACTACAACCATCAATCAAACGAAACATGATTTTTTTTTACTTTTTTTTTTGGGAATTTTTAGAAGGGATGAAATCAAACCTTCAATGAATGACAAAACGTTCACTTTCCTGCGATGTACCAATTACATTTTCATACACACACATTACACCCAAATAAAATCAAATTATAAACTTAATTAACATCATAAGCTAAAAATCATTCTCAAGCATTCACGGAATTTAAATTCTTTACAAGAAACAATTTTATTAATTCCCAAATCATAAAAAATCTCACAATCAATTCAAACTTTGGACTCAATCAGATATTCACCCATAGAAGAAAAAACAAAAAGGTACCTCCGGTTCTTGATCTGGCGTTTGAGATGATGGGGAGTCTCCGAACCTCTATCTTTTATTGCATTCAATCAGAATACAATGTGTGTGTGTGTGTTAAGCAGATATTGTACTGATTAGTGACGTATGTTGTATGAAATTGCGTGCAACATTTTCAAGTAAAAAAGATTAAAAATCTTTCAAAAAGTATCACTGCATTGATATGGAAGCAATGAAACAAACAACAAACTTATCTACCATACACAGATTCATAACAAAAAATTGGCATTATGTACGAAAATACCTTATTTCAATCATTATTTTGAGCAATCTCTTTCTCAATCTCATATGTCAAACGATGAAAACTTCGAACCCTACAAAAAAAAAAGGTCTTAGGATGGTCAAATGGAAATTTCTTGACAAAATTAGAGAAGCATATAGCGCAGGGAGAAAAAAGAAAAAGAAGAAGAAGAAGAAGAAGAAATGAGAAATCTTATGATATAAGTCAATGTCGGGAATGGAGAAGTAAAGAGATATGGTTGGTTGAGTGGAAAAATGGAGAAAAAGCAAAGACGGAGTGGACTGTCAGATTTGTGGGGGAAATGGAGAAAGCAAAGCTTGTGGGGGAAATGACGAAAAAAAAATTTGAATTTTGACGACGATAGGAAATCGTGACACGTGGTGTGCCAATGTTTTGTCTCTTTTATTTTATAGTGATGAAGGGGTGTGCTGCGCACCCAAGGAAATATGGAATAGCACGATGTTAGTCTATTGGGGCAACACAAGTTCAAAGCATAAAAATTCTTCGATAGCACATTGGGGTTCCCGACTGGAACAAAATTTCTTCTGATAGAAGAGGTAATCATCCGTGCTTTGATCCAGACAAAGATTTCATACTTCCTTCGTGGAAGCAACCTGATGAAAGATCACTGAATGCTAAACTTTAGGCTAGGTATCCTGTCCTTTGTTTAAAGCTTGAGTTTCGTGTTTACTATCACCTTCATAGTTCTCATCATACATATTGTAAGTGCAGGCCTCATGAGATACGGAAGACATTATTCTATTTTAATGGAAATCTAGGACCAGCTTATGAAGATGGAAGGCCTTAAGCGACGTAAGTTGAATAAGCCTCTAAGATCCTCTAAAATCGTCGCATCTGGTGCAGAATTATCTGATATGACGTCGAGGGATTCTCCATCTCAATAACTCATTTGGTATTTTTTGTGAAATTTGATTACCTAGATGGTGAGGTGTGCAGGTATAGCATGGCGCATAAGACAGAAAGTGGCTGACGAATTCGGCTCGAGTCCTAATA